TATATATATATATATATATATATATATATATATATACACACACACACACACACACACACAGAGACACACATCTTACAATTTCTTCCGTATGTTTATTCACTGTTGTAGTGACAGTTGAAAAGTTAGACAGCAGAATAATATTCCACAAAGCAGTAAGGATATGTACAAAATAGTGCCTTTTAAGGGTGTAAAATGTCAAACTCTTTTGACTTGATTTAACAATCTACTTGTCTATTTCAGTTTGCTTTTTTGCTATTAAAGTATACTTTCATCATAACTAGAGCTGTGCTGTTAGTTGATTAATAAACCAGTGCATTACTTGATTAGTACAGTAAGCCCCATACAAGGAAAAAAAGGGGTACGTGTTTATGTCTTAATTTTTTTAATCAGATTATTCTAACATGGAATAAATTTTCCTATTTTCTTTTACATTGAATTTTTTCTTTTTTTAAAGTATTTTTTGGATTACCCTTAACTTTATATGAAAGTTCTTTTCTTATGATTGCCATTTGTGGATTTGCGTGAAACATTTGTCATAAAAAATATTTCCCAACAAGTCTTATAGTCATTTCTTACTTAGTAGATGAATCTCTAATGTTGATGAAATACCATAAAGTGATCACAGATGCTGTTTTTCAAATATGTTCATTGATCTTCTGTTAATTAAATATGTTTATAAATGAATAATTGAAACATGTTTTACTCTCATGATAAAGGTAATAATGTTTTTATTTAAAACATTATTACAACTACAAATAATTAACTAGCAACTTAGACTATTTTTGTATACATGTTGCTTGAATAGGGTAAAGATGCGAGTCATCACAATATTTTGTTACTGCCTCCCTCAAAAACAAACAAAAAAACAATCAACCCAGGCTTGGTTCCTGGGACTGACCTCGTAACAATTTTGTGCTTGTTATAGTTTGCATGCTATAGTAAGTGAATGTTAATGAAATTTTCAGTTTATCAGTAAACATTACAATGTTTTCATAAGCAAAATATCTAATTTTTTTTATTAAGTCTCAAGGTTTGTAAACCAATGTTCCTCTCATGACTTTTTTTTCTTTTCACATCTTGCCTATCTATCATGCAAAGTAATTTTCATTTTAAGATTAAAAATACTTTTATGCATCAGAAAATGTTGAGGTTTCTCGTGCAAAATCTTCATAATGTCTGGGTAGTTATCAAACATTTCTTAAGAAGAAACTTTATATTTTATTTGTTCTCGCATCCACCATAAAAATTTAGGAAATAAACATAAATTATGCCTCTTTCATTCTAGAATGAACTCAAATTATAACACAAAAACACAAATGTTTAGACAAAAGCTCAAATCTCATAACATTATACATTTATATTATATTGACTTTTCACATGTGCCTGGCAAACAACATAGAAGTTACAACGATGCAGCTAATTTGCACTCGTGTTACCATAAAGGTGACCTTTGGTCTGTACAAAATGACCTGTCTTGGCTGTGTTTTAGTTGACTAGTATTTTGTTAAATAGTCGCATTTCAATTATTATACATTATATATGTGTATAGATTATTGCTATTTTTGAAATAAGTTCTTAAACATATTTTCCTAAAACACAGAACAGTAAATAAAATAGTAAAGCAAACAATTATCTCTTCTTGTTACGACTTTTGTACTTGGTTGCTGTTTGACTTAGGTTGCTAAACCTTTAAAAATTTTGCATGTGGAGGATGTGAAACAAAATTTTTTTAGGTTTTTATATATACTTTTGACTAACTAAAAGATCATAAATTCCTATATTGATACTACAGAATTCTACTATAATTTATCAAGCTTAGTAAATAAGATGTATTTTCGTCTTAAAAAATATTAAATTTCAACCAGACTAAAGACACACCCTACCTCATTGAAATCTTGGTTTATAAGATAGAAA